TATTTAATTTGGTAAGAAAAGCTAACCCAGTAACGCTGTTCAGTTAGAGCCATGGTGATGCTCTAAGGGAGTGCTGCGTGAGGAGTAAATAAGGTGATGTGAGAGATTCTGTGCACTGTGACGCATGTACCCAGGGTGGCAGGACCTTACATGCTGGTTAGCAAGACCCCCCTGAGAACATTCAGAAAGCCCAACCAAGACACAGACACCAGCTAGGAGACAGGTGGCTCCACTCTGAATAAGTTCTTCCAAGAACTTGGAGGTTCGGGACCTAGTTTCCTGAGTAGAGTGTGGGTTTCGGAGTTAGCTGGGACAGAGCTCCACTATCTATTAGATACCTGGTTCTGAGTGGATTACTCAGCCTCACTGAGTCCGTTTTCTCATCAGTCAAATGGAGATATATCACTAGTACTTAGGCTAGAACAGGACTCTGATGAAAGCTAAAGGAGGGGACAGAGCTTAGGGCCATGGTGCCTAGCCCTGTGTCGACTAAATATTAGCATTATCATTAGCAGAGAGAGGGCGAGAAAGGGAAGGGCAGGAGTCCTTTTCAGAGACTCTAAGTTGGGAGTGATTGTAAGTCACCCGGTGGTAGACATCTGTCAGGCATGTGGCAATGAGAATTAGGGGCTCAGGAGGGAGATCAGAGCTGACGCTGAAGATTTCGGTGTTGACTGCAGAAAGGTGAAGATTACCTGGGCGTAGACACATCATCCGGGAAGAGGGTGAAGAGACAGAGAGCTGAGGAGAGGTCCTGGAGGAGCCCTCGGGGAGGGGGGAGGGAGAAAAGCCAGAGAAGCCTTTGCAAGAGCCTGAACGCGAAGAGGTTCTGCGGGGACAGCATTGCGGAGCTGGAAGGGTCTCGGCCTCAGTCTGTCAACCACCCTCCCACCCCAGGTCTGCGACAGCCTTGGGCGGCGACACTCAGCCTCCTGCACCCTCTGTGACTTCTGTTCCCTGAAGCTGGAACAGTGCCAGTCAGAAGCCGTCCTGCAGCGGCAGCTGTGTGACAGCTCCCACAAAACCCCCTTCATCAGCCCCTTGCTCATAGCCCAGAGCATGTCCATCGGTACCCAGGTACCCTGCCGGGCAGCCTGCAGTGGGGGAGGCCTCAGGCTCCGGGCAGGACTGGGCAGCGGGGAAGGGAGGGCTGCCGGGGCTGGGCAGGGGCGCGCACCTCTCCCCTGTCCCCTGTGCCGCAGGTAGGGACCCTAACATCAGGCCGCTTTTACGGGCTGGATGTGTACGGCGGGCTCCGCATGGACTTCTGGTGTGCCCGGTTAGCCACAAAGGGCTGCGAAGATATTCGAGTGTCCGGCTGGCTCCAGACTGAGTTCCTTAGCTTCCAGGATGGGGATTTCCCCACCAAGGTCAGAGCCTTTCCCCAAAGCTCAACTCCATCCCACTTATCCCAGTTCCTTCCAGTTCCTTGCTCTAAGTAGCCCTAGGATGTGCAAAGGGGCTAGGCCTCTGGCTTCGGGGAACCAGTAGACGCCCTCCCACCCACCCCTGCCTCCCCCACCTCCAAAAAAGAGAGCGGGATTGTGTTGGTCAAAGGAGTAGGAGTCAGAAAGGTGGAGGGGTGGGAGAGCACAGGAAGGCAGGACGCAGGGGATCTGCTCCCAGCTCTGCCTGGGGCTTTGGTCAAGTCACTTCCCACACCGGCTCAAAGTTATACTCCCCTCTACAACAAAGGACTAGGTGGTGGCTGAGGTGTCACTGACCTGTGACCCAGTGTTTCCCTGCTTCAGTCTGACAGCCTCCTTCCCTGAGGTTCTAGTGCTTTCCCTGGTCAGTGGAATCAAGTTTGCTCCCCCTCTCCCCGAAGTTACCTCCTTGGTGGAACTGACAGCCAGGTCCCCCCTTCCTGTGGTTTAGTAGGAAAAATCAAGGCAAGGAAATGACCAGAACACCGTAAGAAAGGGCTGGTAGCTGAGCTGGGAGGCCCCTGCCTAGCTCTTATTCCTGTGCCCCCAGCTCTGAAAAGGTTCTCAGAGACCATCCCTGCTCCTCCCCTGGGTTTATGTAAAAATGGGCAGGCGAGATCCACTGAGGAAGGTGATTCACCCAAAGTCACACATGATTCTTCTACCCTCTACCTCACTTAACCATCACTAGAAGGCTCCCTGAGATTGGACCACGAATCGGGTCCCCTCCCCCCTTCCCCATTCCCCAGCCATTTTCCCAGCAAGCTGACTAGCAGGGCGGCCACTTATTCTCTGGTCCTGGCATCTTTTCAGCACCCAAATGTGACTGAGGGTGGGGCAGGAAGAGCAGAGGGGACAGAGGCCTAGTCCTCAGAGAGGGGGGCCCCTCTGGTGTGGAAGGTATGGTTCTCGAGGGCGATACCCCTGGCCCTGGTTCTGCCATTTTGGGCATTCGCCGGAGGGCTGGTGTCCTAGAAGTCTTCTCATGTCTCCCCGCCTCCCCATTCCCGGCTCCTGGCTTAGATTTGTGACACAGACTATGTGCAGTATCCAAACTACTGCGCCTTCAAAAGCCAACAGTGCCTGATGAGAAGCCGGGATCGGAAGGTGAGCCCCTCACCCCGTGCACCCCCTTCTCCCATCAGCTCCTCGATCGGTCATCACAGAGGGGTCTATTCTGAGCACCCCCCCCACCCCTGCTCCAAGCAGCAGGTATCAGAACAGCTCCCTGTTTGCGTCTCTGGGCAGAGGCCTGCGTCAGAGCTCTCTCTCCCACTCCTCCGAGGCCTTCCCAGGCCAGAGGGGTCCAGAAGGGATGCTGCAAGTGAGAGGTGAGGGCCCAGCGGGCACCCCAGCAAGAATCCCTAGCCGGGTTGGGCATTGGCTGTTGAGGTCTCGGTCTTGCCTCCCGCTCTTACTCACCAAGGAGTCTGGAATAAGTCACTTCCTCCTCCCTCTTCAGTCTCCTCGCTTCTTAAAGGAGGGGGTTGGGCTACTTGGTGTCTCTTGCAGCCTAAAAAAACCCACATCTGTTTCCTCCTTCCTTCTACTGCCCTGCACTCGGGCCCACTCGCCTCTGGTACTTCTGACACGTCCCTTCCCCCACACCTCTGTCTCCAGGGTCTGTGACACAGACTGTGTGTACCCAATCCCTGTGTAGGTGTCCCGTATGAGATGTCTGCAGAACGAGACTTACAGTCTCTTGAGCCAGGCCAAAAGTGAGGACCTTGTGCTTCGATGGAGCCAGGAATTTAGCACCTTGACTCTAGGACAAGCAGGATGAGCTGGGGGCCATCTTGTCTCCACCCCAGCCCGACCCTTCCACGTTCTCCATTGCTTTTAGACCCCATCTGTCAGTTTGCTTCCTGGGTGCCCCTTATGGGTCTCCTCCCTGGCCCTTACTCACATTGACCTTGGGTTGGGGCAGTAATTCCGGAAGTGGCCATGATGGGAACTCCACCCACCTTAAAGGATGTCTTTACATAAAGTGTTTATTTTCAACCTGTGTGGCCTACTTTGGTTCCAGTCCCATCCTCAGCACTGCCAATCAACCTTCCAAACCCTGGGCTTTGTGGATCTATCTGAAGGTGAAAGAGCCTCATGAATGGGACTCTGAGAAGTAGCCATCTGCCAGGAAAAGACCTAAGGAGGCCCCAGATGGGGTCTTAGGGGTGGTATGGGCCGTGCGGGCATGCATCTTCATTTCTGAAGCCCATGACCTCAGATGAGTACAGGAATGTCCCTCTGGATGATAAAGGCCAGAGCTCAACTGAGATAATGCCCTGGGGGAACAACCCCAGGAAAGCAGGGCAGAACTTGCACTTTGTCGAGAGAGAGGAGACGGGCTGGGGCCGGGAGCTCAGAACACACTTCATTTAACATCCCGTGTTGGGGCAGATGGTCTGAAGGTTGAGGTGGTCACGTCTTGACAATATACATTGAAGTGTGACTCCAGCGCTGACCTTTAATAACTTGGGATCTCAAAATGTGTTCTAGGGACACGTATTATTGAGAAGCTGTACAGCCTCTCCTTCTACAGGAACACAGTGATTAAGAGCATTAAAAAAATCGGGGTGCCTGGGTGGTTCACTCGGTTGAGTGTCTGACTGTTGGTTTCAGCTCAGGTCATGACCTCACGGTTCGTGAGTATGAGCCCCGTGTCAGGCTCCATGCTGACAGCAGAGAGTCTCCTTGGGATTCTCTCTCTCCCTCTCTCTCTGCCTCTCCCCTGTTCACTCTCTCTGTCTCTCTCTCAAAATATTTAAACTTTTTAAAGAATAAAAAAATAAAAAAAAAACCCAACTTGTTTATTAACAGAAAAGTTCAAACATGCACAAAAGCATGGTATAATGCACCCCCATGCACACTTCACCCTGCTTCAATTAGGAACACACGGTCAGTCCTTTAATGGCATGTTAAAGGGGTGCCTGGGTGGCTCAGCTGGTTAAGTGTCCGACTTTGGCTCAGATCATGATTACACGGTTCATGGGTTCCAGCCCAGCATTGGGTTCTGTGCCGGCAGCTCAGAGCCTGGAGCCTGTTTCAGATTCTGTGTCTCCCTCTCTCTCTGCCCCTCCCCCACTGGTGCTCTGTCTCTCTCTGTCTCAAAAATAAATAAACCAAAAAAAATTTTTTAATGGCATGTTAAAGGCTCTGAGAAGCCCTGTAATAGAGAAACCTGTTCAGTCTAGTGTTTCTCAGATTTACTTGACATCCTTTTTCACCTAAGTTTTTGTGCATTAAGCATGGACAACATGCCTAGCCTTGTTGATGCAGAAGACAAGGGGCCCAGACAGAGGGCACAGAGACAAGGGACTGCCCCCCAGCCAGCACCCAGAGCTCACAGCCTAGGAGAGCACAGAAGCAGGGAGGAATGGCCCCGGGCAGGGTGGGGGATGGCCATGAATGGACAGCACGAAACCGCCTGCTGGAACCCAAAAGAGAAAGAGACACCCAGGGGGAACTGGGGAGTACAGCGAGAGGCTGGTGGGTTAGTCATCTAGCATCAGTGAGTGGGTGTGCCAGTTAAGCTTCCAGGAAGCTAGGGAGTGTGTGAGCAATGGGTGGGGGGAGTCATTCATAAGCAAGAGCTGGGGCTGGATTAAGTGCCATTCTCTGCTGGGGATTTCTTCTCTGGCCACCTGTGGAGGCCACAGAGGACACTGCTTCCTCTCTCTCCCTGTTCCGTGTGTGGGGCTGGGTGAGTGCAAGGAGCTGGGACCTGCTGAGATCTGCCAGGAGAGTGTGTCCCCACCCATCTCAGGAGCAGGTCCTACCAGCCCAGCCCAGCTCAGAGCAGGCAGCGGAAGCCACAAGGAACACAGGTACGGGGGTGTCACAGCAGGGGGGGGGGGGTTTGAACCTCGCAGGGGGCACAATGGGCAGCGTCCTTCCTTCAGAGTGGGGTTGGTGGGTGGGGATGGAGATGAGCATGGGCCATGGGCCCTGGAAAACCTTTTGGAATAGAGTAAGAAGCTAAAAGGGGCTGCCTCAGGCAGTCAGACCTTTTCGAACAATGAGGGGAGGCAGCCAGCACACTCGGCACACCCTCTGAAGTCTGAAGCCCCCATGCTGGGGAATCCTGGGGGGGAGGCACACCCTCTGAAGTCTGAAGCCCCCATGCTGGGGAATCCTGGGGGGGACGTGTCCTCCCCTTCACCCTTTAGGCCTCTACCATTATGCTGGACCTTGGGCTTCACACAACCACTTAGGAGGGCTCTCTGGGGGTGGTGTCCAGCCCTTTCCCACTCTCAGATAAAACTTAACCCTCGTACCCATTCACCCTCCGAGGAGGCCGGGCCCTCTGCTAGATGACAATGAACTAATCTGATCAGGCTCCACTAATGGGTTCACTGGCAGAGATGTGTTCTTATGCTTATCCTTCCTAGCTAACCAAGGTGCATTTTAATGGGGTCTGCGAGAAACACCGCCTTAACCCAGGGTGCTCATTTTCTATATGAGAAGATTAGATGAGATGGGCTCTAATGTCCCTGTAATCCTGCTAGAATGTGGCTCATGAGTGGCGTGAAGGGAGCGAAATTTCAGATATTGAGCGCAGGTGGGGGAAATATTTGAGGGTCGGCAAGGTCTTATGATACCTTCGTATCCTACTAAGGGCAGCTGCCTACCTATTACCCATGTTTAGGAGGGACCTCCCCCCACGTTGTATCTCCAGCTCGTTAGGGTGAGAAAGTCTTAGCCCCGGGGGAGAGCGAGGCAAGGATTGAGAGGAAAATGGAAACTTACCCATACCTGTAAGCCTCACCTCCTGGTCATTGGGAAACACCAGAGCCCAGCTCCTGCTGTCTCTGCCCTCTCCAGCCCTCTCCAGCCCCTCCAGCCCGGTGCGCTTAGGGCATATTCAGCAACAGAGAGGCCTTATACGCCCTGGGGAACCCACAGAAGGAGGGGGAGGGGGAAGCCAGGGTGCACAAGTGCATAGCAAGGTCAAAGAGGCCAAAGGGCTCCAGATTTCTTTGGACCCAACCAGGCCCCAAAGCAAGGGTAAGATGCACATAGACGGCTCCGAGTGTTGGGCTGTAGAGGGGTGATCTGGTCTGAGTGACTTCTCTGGATTGTAATTTTATTTCCTGTTTTTCCAGCTCTTGAAAGCAGGGTGGAGGGGAGACGTGCAGGTGGGGAGGTGACATCCACACATAGGGGGAAAGGAATGACTGAGCTGTAGGCCACCTTTGCCTTCTGCTTCTTCCCAGAGAAGAATGGGAGAGATGAGGTCAGAATACCCAAGGAGGGAGAAGACTGCTGGAGTCCAGCTCCAGCCTGTCCAGGGGTCCCTGAAGGATGGACGGTGTCGGTGAGAGAGAGAGTGGGAGAGCCCCGAGATCCTTTCTGATCACCAGGCAGGCATCTCTGCCCTGTCAGTTTTGGTGTATTTATAGGCCAAATGTTAACATGGCATCCGAAAATGGAATGTTTACAATGGATAGTTCTCTGTGATAAGATGTTTTGGAAAATATACAGAAACAGGTTTTACAGAAGTCTTCTTGCAGAACTACCCCAATTACAGTGAGGTTGAGTAACTAAGAAAATAACAGGGTGTTCTTAGTGAAAAACAGGATAATACACACATTTTAATAACGCTAAGATTAAGTCATAGGTTAGGTTGTAGATACTCTTATTCATCCTCATCACAGCTGCCAGGGTAAGGGATGGTGTTTGTGGAATGTAGGCCTTAGGGAAGCGACTGCTGTACACCACCAGTTAGCAAAGGGATATGTGGTAACTTATGTTCTGCCCTTATCTGTTCCTTCTCTCTAAGTTAGGCTCTTTGTCTCCGGGTAAGACTTAATTGTCCAGTTCTATTCCTTATGGCACTGGAGAGCCAACCGTACCTTTAAGGAGTTTAACTCATTTCCAACACACAGAATAGCCTCTTCGAGTGCATTTACCTTTGTGTCTGGTTTTTTGTCTATGATTTCTTGAATAGCTAGGGCGTGAGAAACATTTTGGTGAGTTGATTTACATGTTGAGCTGTATGAGCCTCTTAGACTAGTGCAACGGTAGAAACAGAATTGTACACGTAAAGGTCAATCTTTTATGAGTAAGGGTCATTAGCCTGTTCGTAGCTCAAGGGAAAGTATGGAGGGAAACAGGACCTGCCAGAGACATGATGCCTGTTCCCATAATCATAAAAGAAGAAGTTCCCACAATAAGTTCCTTCACAAGGTGGAACCATCATACCAGGGCCGGCATAAGGGGACAAGTCACTCCCAATGCTGATCAACAAGGTACCTTGGGGGTCGGTGCTCCAGCAAAAATACTTGAGTGGAGGTGGATATCGGACGTCATCTGATGGCAAGAGCCTTGCCAACTTGCCTTACCCTCACAAGTGGTGGGCTCAGAATGGCTCCCAACAGAAGACGTGGCCGAGAATGATACTGGAAATGCAGGAAGACGCAGGCTCAGGTGGGGAAGTGAGGGGTGGGTCGGGGGAGGCTGGGGCAGGGATGTTGGCTGGAGAAAGCAGAGCAGGCCTGGAACTGGAGGAGAGATGATGGAAAGAGGAACCAACTCCCCCAGGGGGCCTGTGCCAGAGGCTCTTCTCCTTGAGAAGAATGTGGCCCCTCTGGTAGGAAGAGGCCGTCCATGCAGCCTGGTGACACTGTACTATCTCCACCCCACAGACCCCTCTGATGAGCAGAATTCATCTGTGTCCTCAAAGCAGCTACAGGACAGGGCTTTCCGCAAAGCCTTCAGAGTTTGTTAGGCGGCTCTTGGAGGCTCCAGCACGGTTTGGACCCGTTGGAGGAGTGTGAATATTCACGTAGTGAGAGGTAGAATTTACAGGCAAGCCTGTCTGTGGGTAAAGGGCGCATCCTCCCAGCGCAGCTGGGGTGCAGCAGCAGAAGCGGGCTCAGCCCGCAGGACAGTCGGAGCACACACTGCATAGGGGTGGCCATGACTCCCAGCTGTGGCCTCTGGAATCTAAAATGAGGTTTGGGGCTCTTCTAGAACAATCTCCTGGGGCAAGGAGGATGAGATCTGAGATCTCTTCTTTTCGAACTTCTGGAGGATGTGAATTACTAAAAAGAGGAGACAGAAAGAGCGCGAGGCACTTGGTGAATAAACGGGAGGGACCAGGGGGTACGGGGTGCGCACTGAGAATGAGGCGGACAGGAGGAAGCTGGAGGAAGAGGAGTTATTTCTCATCCTGCCCTGCCCCCATCACTGTCCCAAATCACCTATTCCTTTCTCTTCAGCCCTCTCCGCGTGGCTGGTCAGCCGCCAGAGGGTGGATAGCACGGGCAGGTTATGTGGAGGAGAGGGAGGAATGGCCATGACCTAGCCTCCTGCCCATTTTTACTCACATTCTCACTTCCTGCCTGGCAGAAAATAGCTCTGCCCCTCTGGCTTATCTCAGCAAAGAGCAGTGCCCAGCCCAGCTCAGAGGGCAACGGGACAGGTCCAGGAGGACTTGAGGACATAAGGAACTTGGGCCTCGGATGTGCCCGTGGGAAGCTGAAAGAGCCCGAGGGAGGAGGAAAGCGGCCGTCCACGCTCCGGTGTGTGAGTGGTGTGGAGGGCGGGTGGTGTGCAATGGCCAGTCCCCAGGGCCTCCAGATGCAGGGTCCTTTCTGTGCCCCTCAGTGTCTTGGCCCTGGGTTCCATCTGTGAACGTCTGCGTGGGTACATGCTCCCAAGGCTGCCTGACTCCTTACGTCTGGAAGTGGAAGAATACCGTCCCTAAGGCAAGGGCTGTGACTCCTCTTCCTCCGCTGGCCCAGCCGTCCGTGCCTCCGTGCATGCGCGTACTTGTGTGGTGGAGGGTGTGGATACATAGCGATTTGTATGTTAAAAGGGAGCTCGTGTGCTCATCCCTTAGTGTATCTGTACCTCTGTGGGTCCTTGGCACATGTACATGTGCGAAGCGGTGTGCTTGTGACCACATCCGTGCCTGTTGAGGTTACTAAGATTACGTGGGCCTCCGTGTCCCTCCTCCCCTCTGGTGAAACGAAGCCCCGGTGTTCTTTTCTGGGGCAGCTGCTGTTTTCTTGGTTTCCCCCATAACCTGACCTCTTTCTCAAGGCAGGACTGGGGAGAGATCCTGGGGCCGCCCCTCCCCCACCACAGCTAGAGACCTCCTTCCATTTCCTGTTTGCCTTCTTTTTGGCAGTTTTTCCCATCTTTGCCATCTGGCCTGGCACGGTGCCCATTCAGCTCCACTGACAGGAGCCCCAGGGAAGCGAGCAGATGGGGTGGGGACCAGGGCAGGGCCTGGCAGCTCTCAACGCCCAGCTCGGGCCACTGTGTGTGTGTGTGTCTGTTAGAAAGAGGTGACTTTTTGACAGAAAGGACTTCTCCACTTTGGAATCCAGTAACGAATGCATCACCATCTGCCTTACTAAAGGGTTCCTAACCGTACCTTTAGGCAGCAGCTCACCTAGGACTTTATGGTCTCTTTATTATTATTTTTTTAATGTTTTCTTTATTTCTGAGAGAGAGAGACAGCATGAGCAGGGGAGGGTCAGAGAGAGAGGGAGACACAGAATTTGAAACAGGCTCCAGGCTCTGAGCTGTCAGCACAAAGCCCGATGCAGGGATCGAACCCACAAACTGTGAGATCATGACCTGAGCTGAAGTCGGACGCTTAACCGACTGAGCCACCCAGGCACCCCTTTATGGTCTCTTTAAAATTGTAAATTTATTGACAGAAATACTCGGGATTCTTGGAAAATAATTACTCATTCGCTCATTCATTGTCTGCCATGTGCCTCCCAGTTGTAAGAAGCTATTGATTCTTCAAGTAATGGTTAAGAATGATGAAGTGTTACTGTAATTAGAGAGTAAACTGTTTTCAAAATTTTAATGCAAGCTGTTCCCAAACAGGCCTTTTAAGAGGGGGACACGTGGACAAGATGGTCATGGGTGTGATAAGAACTGGCTGGCGGGCTGATTGATACAAGAGATATTGCAACAAGAGTACAGGATGGGTGGCCATGGGGGGAGGGAGGGGGAAGATTTCCTTCCAGGCGGCCAATGAATGTCACCAGGGCCTGCCAAGCAGAGAGACTGAAGTGTGAGTGAGCTTGGGAATAAAGCAGTGGAAGATAAGGCCCCACCCCACAACCTTACTATCTAGGTGGGGAAAATGGAATCAAATAAACACTCATAAAACAACCGGAGGAGTTCAAGGCAGCAAACTAAGTGCTTACGTAGGTAAGAGGACATCCTAAGGAGGGGCACACCTGTGTGTGAAAGCAAGCGTCTGTTTCCAGTGTTTGAAATTCAAGGAAAAGTGGGCTATTAAAAAGTATGTTTTGCAGGGCGCCTGGGTGGCTCAGTCGTCTGAGCATCCAACTTCGGCTCAGGCCATGATCTCATGGTGCATGAGTTCAAGCCCCTCATTGGGCACCGTGCTGACAGCTCAGAGCCTGGAGCCTGCTTCGCATTCTGCCTCCCTCTCTCTCTGCCCATCCCCCACTCACGCTCTGTCTCTGTCTCTCAAAAATGAATAAATGTTAAAAAAAAAAGTATATATTTCAACTGGACAAATAAGTAAACACTATTTGTGGGCACATATTTCTTTTTTTTAATTTCTTTTTTTTTAATTTCTGAGAGAGAGAGAGAGAGAGAGCAAGCAGGGGAGGGTCAGAGAGGGAGGGAGACACAGAATCCGAAACAGGCTCCAGGCTCTGAGCTGTCAGCACAGAGCCCGATGCGGGGCTTGAACCGACGAACCGTGAGATCATGACCCGAGCCGAAGCCGGACGTTTAACTGACTGAGCCACCTAGGCGCCCCTGTGGCACATATTTCTTCTTTTTTTAAAATGTTTATTCATTTTTAGAGAGAGACCAGGAGCAGGGAAGGAGAGGAGGACAGAGGATCCGAAGCGGGCTCTGCGCTGACAGCAGTGAGCCCGACATGGGGCTCAAACTCACAAACCGCGAGACCATGACCTGAGCTGAAGTTGGACCCTCAACCGTCGGAGCCCCTGGGGCGCCCCTGTGGGCACAGATTTCTTAGGGGCAGTTGTAAGAGACCAAGTGCTCTGTGCAGCATGCATCCTCAGATCCAACCATCCACTCTTGTTGCGAGCAGCGAGGGGCAGCTTGGAGCTGCATTTGAATCCTGAGTTTGAATGCCCACTGAGCTCTAGAGCTCCCGTTTCCTCTCCTGTAAAAATCAGGATAAACACCTACCTCAAAGGACTGTTGGAAGGTGTGGCGAATGGTCAGTAAATGATTGCTAGTATTTTTCACGCAGTATTTATGGAGGTGGTGGCTCGGACTACAGCGATGACTAAGTAACAGTCCACAGCCCCTCCCTCCTTGAGCTCATAGTCTAGTGGGAGGGGCAGACTAAGAACAGCTAATTACAATACAGGTGGGACACCTGAGGTACACATGTGCGGAGTAGAAGCACCTGTGAGGGAGCTACAGCTGCCCTATGGGGAGGGGGGGAGTCAGGGGAGGTTTCCCAGAGTCCTAAGAAATGTTTGACTTTGCCAGCTGGAGAATGGGAGGCAGAGCACGTGCAAAGGCATGTGCCAAATTATCATCAGTTTGGTGTGACCCGAGCAAAGGGGCATGGGAGGTGGGGCATGTGTCAGGGAAGGAGTCTCAGTTCATTTGCCTTTCAGCATGTTTCAGCTCCATTTAGTGTTATTTTCATTGTTGAAATGGGTATTTTGTAGAGGAAACTTTTATCTCCTTTATTCTACAAGACCTCTTACAAGTCTTAAACTGCTGGTAGTCATAGTTAGGGGGGAGAACAAATGAGCAAAAAACTCACAAGAAAACTTCTTAAAGTCAAGTTTACAACTTGTTTCTCTTTAAGAAATTAAGCAGTTCCAGGGCTCCTGGGTGGCTCAGTCAGTGGGGCACAAGACTCTTGATCTCAGGGTTGTGAGTTTGAGACCTATGATGGGTGCAGAGATTACTTAAAAATAAAATCTAAAAAAAGAAAAAAAAGAATTTAAGTAGTTTCTTTTGAAAGGACCCCACGTGCACAGCATTATTCACAATAGCCAAAAACACATAAAAATCCAAGTAACCATTGCCAGATGAATAGATTAAAAAATTTTTATACATATATTCTTCAGCTATTAAAAAAAAAGATTGTAGGGGTGCCTGGGTGGCTCAGTCGGTTAAGCAACTGACACTGGCTCAAGTCATGATCTCATGGCTTGTGGGTTCGAGCCCTGCATTGGGCTCTGTGCTGACAGCTCAGAGCCTGGAGTCTGCTTCATATTCTGTGTCTCCCTCTCTCTCTGCTCCTTCCCTTTTCATGACCGGTGTCTCTTGGCCTTTAGAAATAAATGTTAAAAAAAAAAAAAAAGACATGGCATCATTAAAAAAAAAAAAAAGATTGTAATTCTGGTACATACTACAACATGGGTGGACTTAGAAAACTTTATGTGAAGTCAAATAAGCCAGACAGAAAGGGATACATATTACATGATTCCACTCATACGAGGTACCTGGGATAGGCAAATTCAACTTATACAACTCAACACCAAAATATCAAATAATCTATTTTAAAAAGTGGGCAGTGGACCCAAATAGGCATTTTTCCAAAGAAGACATACAGATGGCCAACAGACACGTGAAAAGACGCCCAACATCACTCTTCATCAGGGAAATGCAAGTCAATCCCCAAACAATGAGATATCAGCTCACACTTGTCAGAATGGCTAGTATCAAACAGACAAGAAATAACAAGTACTGGCGAGAATGCGGAGAAAAAGGAAACCTCTTGCACTGTTAGTGGGAATGTAAATTGGTCCAGCCACTGTGGAAAACAATATGGAGGTTCCTCAAGTCATTAAAAATAATTTACCATATAATCCAGTAATTCCACTGCTGGGCATTTACCCAAAGAAAATGAAAATACTAATTCAAATAGAATAGGCAAATTCCTGGAGACAGAAAGTAGAATAGAGGTTACCAGGGGCTGGAGAGAGTGTAGGGAAGGAGTCGGCAGTTATTATTTAACGGGTATAGAGTTGTTTGGGATGATGAAAAAGTTCTGGAAATAGTAGTGATGGTCACCCGTCATTGTGATCGTACTTAATGTCACTGAATCATATACTTAATGAGAGTTAAAATGGTAAATTTGAAGTTCTGTATTTCAGTCCCCCCCAAAAGATGGCTTTTGGGGGTTAAAGATGGAGAAGTAGCTTCTGTGGCAATAGGACATTAAGGGGAGTGGGATCCTGTAACCATGTCCCGTCCCTCTGGCTCCTCTACCTCCTGGCCATATCCTGCCGGCTTTTGCCTGAGGACTGTGGCTGCCGTGGTCTGCCCTCTCCAGCGGCCTTGGCAATGCCCTTGGGACCTCCTCGCCTCACTGCCACACTTTCTGGACTTAGGGTCCCCTCTGAGCCCTCATCAAAAAAACACCTGTGTGGCTCAGTTGGTTAAGTGTCTGACTTCAGTTCAGGTCATGATCTTGTAGTTCATGAGTTCAAGCCCCACATTGGGCTCTCTACAGTCAGCACACAGCCTCCTTTGGATGCTCTGTCTCTCTCGCTCTCTGCCCCTCCCCCACTTGCTCTCTCTCGCTCTCAAAAATAAAATACACTTAAAAAAGAAACCACCTTCTCCCTCCATCACAGAACCCCATCTAGGAAGCTCCCTAGTCAGATCCGCCAGGGGAGCAGCTAGAAAAGCACAACCTTCCCCTGCCTGGCAGGACCGTGCTGATGTGCGATCAGCCTCTGAGAGCCCTTTGGGTTATTATCCCCAGTTTACAGATGAAAAAACTGAGAGAGGTCCCACAAGCTGAAGCCAGGTTACTCTGACCACAAACCCAGCCGACCCAGGAGCAACGGTGATGTAATGAACGAGGCTCGGAGTTTGTACTGCACTGGGGAGTTTGAACTTTATTCTTTAGATAACTGGGAGCCAGCAGAGCTGGGGAGTTCCAGGGGCAGTGCTCCATCCATCATATTTCTCACCATCTGACATAATACCTATGTACTTGCACTTTATTATCTGTCTTCCTTCAGTGGAATGTAAAGTAGATGGGGTCAAGCAAGGCCTTTGTTTTGTTCAGTGCTGTGAACATGGCTGGAACCTTCTAAAGGCTCAGTAAACATCTGTAGAAGACAGAAAGGGAGAGACGTTCTTTGATACTAATAGCAACCTGTGCACTTTACATACATCTCATTTAATCTAACAGCCTTGTGAAGGAAGGGACCCCCTCTTTTTTTCCCCAGGTAAGGAACATGAGGTTCAGGGAGATTAAGTCACTTTTCTGAGGACAAAGCTTGGCAAGTTGGCAAAACCAGGATTTAATCCCTGGCAGTCTGATTCCAGAGGCTGGCATTTAACACTGTGCTATATAACACTTTCCTGCAGAAAGCTATTCTGGCCGGATGGAAGGTGGGGGAAAGACTTGAGGCTGAGTAAAGGCTCAAGTCGCCAGTCAGGTTAGCCAGATAAACATGTGTGACTTCCGCCCTGTCTTTGCATAATCTTGACCTTGGCTTGCCTTGCTATTCCAGCTCTCCACTGTTGATGAAGCTGTGATCCAAAGCACCCGACACCCGGCAGCCATCTGCTTCCCCGCCGCCATAGCCCGCATTCCCATGCCCTGCTTGCCTTGGGGCTCTCTCTGCGCGGGCCTCCAGGCCCGGCCCAGAGATGAACACGAGGCCAGAGCCCTAGTGTGCCTCACGACGCCCCCGGCCTAGCTCCTCCTCACACTTCGGTACGATGCTGCTCAACAGCTCAGTTATCCCGTGCCCGGACTACCGGCCCACCCACCGCCTGCACATGGTGGCCTACAGCCTGGTGCTGGCCGCAGGGCTCCCCCTCAACGCGCTGGCCCTCTGGGTCTTCCTGCGCGCGCTGCGCGTGCACTCCGTGGTGAGCGTGTACATGTGCAACCTGGCGGCCAGCGACCTGCTCTTCACCCTCTCGCTGCCCGTGCGCATCTCCTACTACGCCCTGCACTACTGGCCCTTCTCCGACCTCTTGTGCCAGACAGCGGGCGCCATCTTCCAGACGAACATGTACGGCAGCTGCATCTTCCTGACGCTCATCAACATGGACCGCTACGCGGCCATCGTGCACCCGCTGCGGCTGCGCCACCTGCGGCGGCCCCGCGTGGCGCGGCTGCTCTGCCTGGGAGTGTGGGCGCTCATCGTCGTGTTAGCCGTGCCCACCGTCCTGGTGCACAGGCCCTCGTCCTGCAGCTACGGAGGCGGCCAGGTGCGCCTGTGCTTCGAGAGCTTCGGCGACAGGCTGTGGAAGGGCGGGCTGCTGCCGCTCGTGCTGCTGGCCGAGGCGTTGGGCTTCCTGCTGCCCCTGGCGGCCGTGCTCTACTCGTCGGGCCGCGTCTTCTGGACCCTGGCGCGGCCCGACGCCACGCAGAGCCAGCGGCGGCGGAAGACCGTGCGCCTCCTGCTGGCCAACCTCGTCATCTTCTTGCTGTGCTTCGTGCCTTACAACACCACGCTGGCCGTGTACGGGCTGCTGCGGGGCAACCTGGTGGCGGCCAGCAGCGACGCCTGCGATCGGGTGCGCGGGGTGCTGATGGTGATGGTGCTGTTGGCCGGCGCCAACTGCGTGCTGGACCCGCTGGTGTATTATTTCAGCGCCGAGGGTTTCCGCAACACGCTGCGAGGCCTGGGCACTCCGAACCGCGCCAGGACCTTGGCCACTAACGGAACCCTGGGCACGCTCGCCGAACAGCCCACCGAGACCAGCAGCATCACCAGGCCGGCTACCGCCGGACAGGAGCTGCTCAGGCCCTTCAACGTCGGGAGGCCCTGGACCCAGTGCCCGGAGGACTCAGCCCTCTGAAAGCACGTCTTGCCACCGCAGGGTCACCCCCACCTCTCACCCCCTAGCGCCGCTCCCACGCGCACACTGCCAGGGTGTGTACATGAGGGAAGTGGGTTGGGCGCTTGGGACTTCTGGGTGGCAGTTCCTGCCCATAAATGCAGAAGAGAACAAAGTGTGGGGAGCCACAGACACGGGAGGGAGGAATGCCGGTGTTAATTGCCTTCTTTAATTTGGTGGTGACGGTGAGCATGAGGCCCACCGCGGCCCCAGTCCCTAGGAAGTGTTGCTGTGAGCCTTCCCAAGGCAAAGGCAGACGACTGGATGACATGCCCTTGGCGTGGTCGTGAAGGACCTTGAGAGCTGGGAGATAGAACAGAAAGTGGGTGCCCTGGATTTATACCCACCACAGGAGTCTTAGGACCACAGGTGCCACCCACCCTCGTTTCCACCTGGGCTTCCCTTGCCCAGCACTGAGGCACAATATGAGTTTACTCGCTACAGACAGAATTGGTTTCCTTCTTGGTTAGCGACTTGTAACAATTTGGGCCTGACCCGCAGCATGTGGTGGTTGGGGGCAGGGCAAAACCGAGTGTTGGAGGGCATTTTCTCCCCAGATTCGGTCCCTATAGCCCTTTCCACCTTTCTCAGTCCACCCTGCCCTGCCTTTGAGACCTCCTCCGTCCTAAATTCTCTCTCTCTCTCTCTCTCTCTGCCTCTGGTGCTTCATCTAGAATTAAGGAGAAAATTCTTTATACTAAAGTAGCAGTTCTTAAACTTTGTTCTCAGATCCGTTAACAACTCTTAAAAATCGAGAATGCCAAAGAGCTTTTGCTTACACTTTATTCTTTTGATACTTAACCATATCAGAAATTAAAACTCACAAGTTTTAACAACAGAAGCACACAAGCACACCTTCCATTGAGAGCAATAATGTCATCAGATTTCGTGGAGCCTCTGGAAAACTCCACTGTACACCTATGAGAGATGAGAATGCAAAGGACAAATGACATGATGGGAGAAGCAGTATTCCGAAAATAACTTTGACCTTGTGGACATTCTTAAAGAGCCACTATTAGAATTCATATGTATCTTCTTCCCAGGGCATATATATACTTTGTTTCTTATTACTGCCAGGGGCAGGGCAATACTGGCAAATCAATTGCTAGTTGTAGTCCTGAAGGCTTGAGGGTTTGCAGGGGTAGGTAGGTAGGGGTTGCACACCCAGTGCAACACCACCTTGGGCTTCCTGGAGCGGCAGCCCTGAGGTGCGGGTGAACTAGTCACATACTCAGAGGAGGGGCGGGGCTCCTCTTTCCCTGGGAAGGGAAAAGGGGACGGATTGCCACAGCCAGGAAAGAAATTTCCAGGAAAATAAGAGTGCAATGGGAGGACAGGAATAAGCTGGCTGTTCTTCACCAGCTGGAGGCAAAGGAAATGGAAGACTGGTTAACGGGCCACCTACTGTTTCCTTCCCTCTTTACAGGAGTGGGGCTGGGAGGGGTTGCAGAGTTGGCATCTTGAGACTCTGCGGAACTGAGGAAGTTGCTGCCATGCGTGTGTCCTGTATGCATTTCTATGTCTCTCAATGATGTATGTTTCTGTGTGTGGAGAGAGAGAGAGAGAGGGAGAGAGAGAGATTGAAAGCGTTTTGAGACAGTGTCAGATTTTTCCTGTGTGTGTCTCTTGTGTGTTGTAGTTTGGAGTAATCCTTTTGTGTGTCTTTAAGCAATAGCTTCAGATGGTGATTTACAGGGGTAAAATGACCCCTGGTGGCCAAAGCAGAGAAGTGACCCAGATTCCTCAGTGATAGGTTTCAAGTAGAGCCTTCCACCATCAGGTGGGAGGCTAGAGCCCTAGGCCAGCCTCTCCGATTGCTCTAGAAGAGGCCTGATGGTGAGCACCTGCTCCATTTTACTTCATCCTTAGGGTTTAAGACCCATGCCCTTCCAGCCCTGGGAGCATCAAATGTGATCATAGTTCAAAGTCTCAGAACTTTGCCCTATCCAACAGAACTGAATTGAACATGGTTTTAAAAAATTGAGTATTTTCATAGTCTTATATGTGAATGGATTCCAAAGTAACAAAACTCACCCAGCAAACATCTTCTAACATACTATATAATTTACTTATTTATTTTTATAATTTTTATAGTTTCTTGTCTATTTCTCCACCCCTTCCCCCCAGATATGATGTAAGGTCCCTGGAGGCAGGGATTTTTGTTTGCTTGGTTCTTTGACGTATCTCCAGCATCTAGAACAGCTCCTGGCACAAAAGAAGTGCTCAATAAATATTTGTTGAATGATAAACAGTTAATTTTGGTGTGGAGTAGTTTACTATCTAGTGGGGGACCATAGAACAAGTCAACAACCACCATTCAACATGCAAGATTCAAGAATGCGGAGTAAGGTGTTAATTTAGTGGGCAGTGGGAAGTCCCTAAAGGTTCCTGAGTGAGGTTTTGCTCACTCTGGCAAACAGCGTGGGATACACTGTAGGGAAGTGAGGAGGGGAATCTAAAGGGAAACGAAGACTGGTCAGATTGCTGTTAAAATTGTCAAGGAGAAGTATGACCATAGCCTGTGGAGGTGGATGGAAATGGGTCCTCTCCCCAACTGTGAAATCTCGGTGGCTAAGTTCTGGTGGACTGTTTCCCCACATTCAGCACATCCAAAGAGTTTCTATCACGAGTATGGAGAGGCAAGACTAGATTAAGGAGATGTGACAGGCAGAGGAGGAATGAACAGAAGAACCTGACAAGTAACAGGCTGGGGAAGTTTAAGAACATCCGTAGTCGCTGCCATTTTCACAGAATTCTCCAATTACTGAGTGCGCAGTAGGATGGAGGTGAGATGTGGGGAAATCCAGAGCCCTTGCCCCACGTCCTGGAGTTTTAGGAAAATCCAAATGAGGAAAATATGAACATCTTAGGTGGAGGGAGAAGAGCATTAACAAGTTTTAAAAGTACTTTCCAGGACCTCAGGGGCGCCTGGGTGCCTCAGTCACTTGAGTGTCCAGCTTCGGCTCAGGCCATGATCTCACGGTTTGTGAGTTCGAGCCCCACATCAGGCTCTGTGCTGACAGCTAGCTCAGAGCCTGGAGCCTGTCTTTGGATTCTGTGTCTCCCTCTCTCTCTGACCCTCCCCTGCTCACGCTGTCTCTCTCTCTCTCTCAAAAATAAATACAACATTAAAAAAATGCTTGCCAGGATCTTAATGTTGGGCTTATTATTATATTATTTAATGACTGAGAATTATAATAACCCTCTGAGTGAGGGATGATTATTACCCCCATTTTACAAATAAAATACCCGAAAGAAGCTTCAGTCTTGAAGGTCACACAACCAGAAAGAGGCACAGTATTCATTTAAATGGCTCCCAAACAACTACTCTTTGCTGTACATTCCATTGTATCTCCCCTTCCTCGGCTCCCCACGTCTAGTGGCTCTGTCACATGCACCCTCCCTGGGTTCCTTCCTCCTCCTTCCCTCCTCATGCGGGCCACCTCTCTTGATGACTTCTCTCACCCTGAATCTGCTGCACCATCTCTGCTCCCTCTTCCCACCACTTCCTCCAGGCTCCTAACCCACTCACCCTCCAGCACACCTTCCCCTTACCTTGGATTCCAATGCAGAACACAATGCAGCTGTATCAGTGCAGAGAACTGGACTCGTTCAGGGTTTCGGTTGTGTTGAGCCCTGAGATGCACCCCATCCGGGAGTCAGAAGGGAGTAGCAGGTTGGTGGAACACCCAGGCAGGATGGCTCAGCCTTTGTGTAGTTAGCCGTGACTCCCCTCCCCAAGCCAGGAGGTACCCAACATCTCCAAGGCAGCACTCTTGATTGCCAGCCAACTAAGCTGCAGAGGGGACCCCCCCACCCCGGTTCTCCAAAGTCTGCCTCCTCTGTTGGATGGTCCCTCCAAATGGTGAGTAGCTGGGTGTAGACACACAATCATCTGTCTTGAAATAAAAAATTCAGGAGAATCACAGCCAAGGTAAGGGGTCTCAAAGAGGCAGAGATGCTTCTCTTAGCCCTGAACCATCTTGAGGAAAATCCCTACTAGGTTACCACCTGGGGTCCCATGAAGGAAATGGGGAAGGGGAGGTTAATCTCACAATAGGGCCTTCCTTCATCATTCTTTTAGGAGACCCTGAGACAGAGCGAGGCTGGGTAGCTCTCACCATGCCATATCCTTTCTGGAGGAGACCGCACTGAAAAGTATAGTTTCTCACACAGGCCTTGGGGAACACAAAGGCTCTCAGAGCTTCAGAACAGAACCAACCTGGGCAGGTACTAATTTCAGCTCTGTCATTTCTTGACAATGTGACTTTAGCAAGACACTTAAACTCTCTGAACCTCTGTTTTCTCCTCTGTGAAATGGGGATCATGGTATTACTTGTTGGGTTGTTGTGAGATCACTGACATCACCTTTGAAAGGCACCTGGAAGAAATCCCATCAGGGGGAGCTCTCTTTTCAACTGGCGGGTGGGGAGGAGAGGCTACTGATGAAGGCTGTTTGTGATGCTCAAGGGGAATCTTTCTGGAGGACAGCAAAGGCTCCAAGGTGAATCCTCATCCAGACAGAGAGCGGCCAGCAATCAGAACCAGGGCCAGGGGCGGCGTGGGCAAGGCACGCTGGGCAAGCGCTGGGTCAAGTAGTAGACCGTTTCCAGGGGCAGTGGCTGGCCTGTTGCCCTCTGGGGGCAGTCTCTCCCCACTAGGCCTAGCGTCCATCCCACAGACAGAGGAGTGGGTAGAAAGGCGCCTGAAAGGGAGAGGAGAGGGGGCATGGGATGAAGAACCAAGCAAAGGAGAAAGGGCAAGAGAGGAGGCTGGAGGGGAAGTAAGGGCTGGGGCAGGCACAGGGTGGGGCCCCGGAGAGGGGCCGAGGGCAGGAGGGCGGGAGAGAGCGCCCGGGAGGGAAAGCGCTGAGAAGGGAGGAGGGAGGGACAGGGAGGGAGACCAGCGGCGCTGACACAGCCTCGATGTGTGGAACGGGCTGGGGTTTGGCCCACAGGTCAGGCGTCTGGCAGTATTATGGGATGGAGAGGCCTTAGGAGACAGGGAGAGTATTATGGGCTGGAACAGCCTTAGGAGACTGGGGAATATTATGGGCTGGTGAGGCCCGGATCCAACTGGAGGCGGGAGGAAGGGGTGCGGGGCGGGAAGGGGGGGTGGTGGTGGAAGGGAATATTATGGGCTGGAGGCCTCCTGCGACCAGAGGCAAGAGTATTATGGGCTGGCAAGGCCTTCGGTGGCCAGAGGGGGGAGCAGCGGGGGATGGCACCGGCTGCATGTGACTGAGGGGGGGGCCAAGTTGGGGGGGTGGCGAGTGGGGGTGGGGGAGCATATTATGGGATAGCTCTTTGTACCTACTGCGGGGACTGCTTCTCCAGAAGATATTATGGGATGTCGTGTGTGGGAGGGGGAGTGGGGCTGGGGGGATTATTATGGGATGGTGGTGCAGAATGGGGAGGGCCTGAGGAGCTCTTCTCCAGCCCCCCCACCCCTTACTCTCTTTCCATCCTCTCTAAGGTCTGCCTTCTCTCTCAAACGGCCCAAGGGGAACACCTGAAATCCACCCCCCCACGCACACACTTTGAGCACCTCAACCCATCCTAGGCATCTCCCCTGACCAGCAGACACTTCCAGGGTGCTCAGGGGGAAAGGCAGCCCCTGGGGAATGGGAAGAAGGCCCCAAAGCAGGGCTGTTGTGACCAGTGGACCACACCTCCCACCTGCAGGGTGTCCCCCTTGGCTCCCTACCCCTTGGGTCACTCTCCTCCCTCTTCTTCCTCCACAAAGTGGGGGCCCTTGATCCTCTTCCCCTCCCCCCTCCCCTCCATTTCCTCTCCAGCTCCCTCCACAGCCGTAACCAGTAAAACAGGCGGCCAGCTATTATGGGATGGCTGCTCCCGGCAGCTCTGCAGGGAGGGGGCGGTCACCGCGGAATGTCTCTTGTGGGTGGCTATTATGGGATGGCCGCCTCTCTTTTGGGGGGGTGGGGGCTAGCAAGGAGAAAGATTATTATGGGATGTGCCCTGCACAGTTGGGTGGGGCTGTCCTGGGTAGGTGAAGCTCTGGGGAGGTGGGGGGGGTGGGAAGGAAAGGAAGGAAGAGGGAGGGAAAGGAGCTATGGAGGGTGGGGTGAGCCCTAGAGCCAGACCTGAGGCCTGGCAAGAGTAACTGGCTGGAGAGGTTCTTCTGTGACAGATGTTTGAAGGGGCCCCTGGGGCAGGCTAGAGCTGGTCAAATTTGAACCCCGGACACCTGGGTCCTTTTGCAGCTTGGGAGCTGCACGGTCGCTGAGTCCAGGGCCAGCAGAGTTGGGCTGTCAGTGAGAATGCCAGCGTGCTGGGGTTCTGGCTGAGTGGCACATCAGAGGGAGTGGTGCTCCTGGGTGAATGCAGTACCCAAGTACTCTCATCTCCCTTTGCTTTCCTGGATTTGAGCCTTAGCTCAGGTAAGGGGGTTGGGCCGGGAGGCTTTGCAACCTTGCAGTCAAACCCAGGAAACAGAGGCTCTGTCGGCTCCTGAGGGACAAATGCCTAGCCTGTCACTACCGCTCCCCCTCCCCCACCACCCCAAGCCCTGCGCGACCTGCATCCTGTCTAGCCGTCAGAATGCACTGTCACT